AAGGGGTACAAATGGGAGCCAGAATCTCTGGGGTTGCCCCCACACCAGCAAAAAGCTCACTCCCTGTTAACTGGTGCTAATTTCATCTTCCCTCAACTTTCCTATTTCATTTGAAGCTCCGTTTAATTGGGAAAAGCAGGGAAATACAACTAAAAAAAAAAAAAAGACTGTGCCATCTTTTGCTGAGCAGCAGCAAGATGCAGACCGAGCTTGGCACCAGCTGGGTGAGCGCTCACATTGCATCGCATCAACCAGCACCGCTGGCAGTATACATTGGTCAGGATTAATTTAATTAGGGATGGATGCAGGGTCTGAAATGCCACCATGAAGGCACCCCAGCCGCACAGCCTGGATTGGTACTGGTGTTAAGAGAATGAACCACGTCTCTTTCATTGCAGTGACACCGAACCCAAGCAGTTCATCTATTGACCACAACACACAGTTGCTGTTGTGGTGTCTCTGGGGGTGTTTCCAGCCATGCTGGAGGGTGCTGGTGCAGGTGCTCAGCATGCAAGGCCAGGCTCACCCGTATGAGGACCAGTGGCCGTTCTCAGCTGGCATCACCTGTGCACTCACTGGGCAGCTTTGGAGACACGTGGATGAGGGACAAACAGCCAGTGGCTGCCCTACCACACTGCCACCCTGGGGACCCCAGCACCTCGCTCACACCACCCTTCCAACCCAATCACGATAATTAACAATTAGCAAAGAGACAAGTGGGCAAGCCATTAGATATTCCTGAACTAGTGTTTACTGCTATTTACTGACCTGTTCATAATTAACCTCCCGCTGCAAAAGCATGTTGATGAAAAGAAGTGTAAACTTATTAGCAGTGATGGTGGCTGGTGCCAATTAAAGCAGAAGCTCGAATGGGTTTTCCTGTCATGTGGCAGTGGGCAGCAAAGAGCAAGGTCTGATGAAAGGAGATAAAAGGCGTTGGATGCCTGCGGTGGCAATGCAATATTTAGGAGGACGTGGGGATGCCAAGCAAGGCAGCACACTGCCACTGCGCCTGGGGACACCCCCGGGGGCCACATCCCAATGGGCAATGGCGAGGAGGAGGAGGCAGCATCCAGCTGCCCAGTCCTACGCACAAAGAGGACCCAGGCAAGCTTCTTTGGTGGGGGCGGACTGTCACGCCTCTGCCTTTGTCTCCCTTTCAAAGCCAATATCCCAGCCCCAGATGGGTTAATACATAATGCAGACAAGCAAGTAATTGGTTGCCTTTGTATGGCCGTCAGCGATCAGTCCCTGGCCCTCTGATCCCCCATTAGTGGCCATGCAAACAACCCTTCCACCCAATTAAGCACAGCTTTGATAGCGCCTTTCCCAATGATGCGCCAGCCCCAAAGCAGCGATTCGCACATGAGCCACTACCTGTTAGACCTGGCTTCAGGGACGCGCAGCCCTCACTGCTCGCTGTGACCCAGCTGCTGGGCTCTGCCTGGCTCCCCTGGCCCTGAAGGGAGGCCCGGCTGATGAATGATCTGGGCAAACTCTGTATTAAAGAGGTGGAAATGGGATGTTAATATACACCAAGCTGCTCATCTCGAGAACACATGGGCTCTGGCTTCCCAAAGGCAGTGGTAATGAGGTGGGTTGTGATGCCCTTCAAGGAGCCCCTGACTCACTGCCCTGCTGCGCCTGCCAGGCACGGGGAGAAGACATCCCAACATCACTCCTCTAAGGCACTCCAGAATCTTCCCACAAAGCATCCCAGCAGCAGCCTACAAAGTATCCCAGTGTGCTCACTGAGAACATCCCAGCATCATCCCCTAAAACATCCTGGTATCCTCCCTTGGTTTATCATGGCATCATCTCCTAAAGCTGCTCAGTGTCAGCTTCTAAAGCACTCGCTTAAAGCATCCCAGTGTGCTCACTGAAAGCATCCTAGCATCATCCCCTAAAGCATCTGACCACCCTCCTCTAAAGCATCCCAGTATCATCTCCTAAAACATCCCTTGTTATCCCTTGGTGCATCCCAGAATAATTTCCTGGAGCATCTCAGTGTCTTCCCCTAAAGCATCCCCGCGTGCTCAACTAAAGCATCCCAGCAGTATCTTCTAAAGCTTCCTGGCATCATCCCCTAAATCATCACACCATCCTCCCCTAAAGCATGCTGGAATCATCACCTAAAGCACATCAGTTTGCCCTCCAAAAACATCCCAGCTTCGTGGTCTAAAGCACCCTGGCATCATCTTCTACAGCATCTCAGTGTCACCACCTAAAACATCCCAGTACACTCCTCTAAAGCAACCTACATCAACCCTGAAGTGTTATCCCCTAAAGAATCCCCCCCACACACACTCCTCTAAAGCATCACCCACTCCTCTAAAGCACCATCTCCTAAAGCCTCCGGGCATTATCCCCTAAAACACGCCATTATCGCCCCTGCAGCATCCCACTACACTTCCCAGCATCATCCTAAAGCATCCCACCATCATCCCCTAAGACACCCCGCTTTGCTCTTCTCCAACACCCCCGTGTCACCACCTAAAGCTCCCCGTCTCTTCCCCCTTGTTGTGCCCGGGGCCCTCCTCCCTGGCACGGCGTCCCGTGCCCTGTATAAATATTCAACGCGCCGCATTTCCAGGCAGCCGCCGACACAGGCGGTAGCAGGGAGCTCCCCGGGGGTATGCTAATAGCCGGGCTGTGCGGGATTTACATCCCCCGCATCGGCATGGGGGCTCCCAGCCGCTCGTTTGCCCATACAAATGCCTTGTCACTAGTCATTACTCAGCTCCGGCCCGCCCGGCTCCCACCTTGCGGCTCCGTGCCTCAGTTTCCCCACCCCGATGCCATCCGGCACCGCCGCAGAGGGTTGGGAAAGGCGGGGACAGAGACTGCGGAGATAAAGAGGGACACGGAGGCAAAGCCTGGGGACAGCCTCACCCTGTCCTAGCCTGATGCAAAAATTCTGAGGAGCGATTTTCAGCCACGCCCGAGCGGCACCCAAGCCCTGCGCAAACAGCCACTAATCGCCGAATTAAAGGACAATTAGGCAGCGCGGCGGCGATAATAAATCTGCTAACAAGGAGGCAATGCCCCCAGCACCACCCTGCGCTCGCTGTTTGCCCATCTGATTAACAGGGACAAATCAGGGGATTAGCTGCCGGGACGAAGTGGTTCCTTTGTCTGCTTCCCCCGTCCCAAGAGGAGGTTTTGGGGGCTGGATCTGCGTGTGCCGCCCTCAGGAGCCTCTCACCCCTGTCTTAGGCCTGGGGTGACCCAGAGCAGGGTTAATGTGGAGGATTTCCAACAAGCCAGGGCTGGGTGCTTTAATCCCCAGGGCTCCCAAAACCCTCGGATTCACATTAAAAACTCTTCAGAGCACTCCATTAAAAGAGGCCCAAAAGCTCTCTGGGGACGGGTAGCTGTGGGATCCCCGGTGCACAGCTTGTCACCACCTTAGAGGGGATTAACATGCTCCTCTACTCTCTTTCCTGGCCAAGGAGATGCTGGAGATGCCCTGTCCTCGCTGTTTGGCTTTCCGGGGCACACAGAAACCCCAGGCTCAGGGAGGGAAGATGCCATGGCATTAAATATTGCGGCACCACTTTCAATTACCAATGCAGAGAATTGTTAGAGTTGGATAAACCTGTTATTCTGCAGGTAATTTATTTCCACTTTTTCCTACCAGGAGTCCCTGGACTGCTGAAAGCCCAGCAGGAGAAATGGAAAAGCTTTGTGTTACTATTAAATTAATATTTATTTGCTTTCTCTTCTTGCCCATGAACAAGAGGAGGCATGAATAATGCATGGCCCTGCAGATGCCTAGATAGGAGCTCTGTGGTCGCAGCAGTGACTTTCCTGGCTGGGGCTGAAAGAGGTGGAGTGGCTCCCAGGTGTTCACAGATGTGCCAGAGGGCCCCAGAAATCCAGATGTGCATCCAATGCACATGCCCGTATGCCACCAGACGTGTGCACAACCCGTGCCCCTCCAGTTGTGCACGCCTGCACATCTCTGCACCCCTCTAGATGTACACCTGTGGCCTCCAGCACAGCTCCATGTGTGTGCCTGTTCTCCAGAGCCCTCCAGATGTACGGCCAGATGTGAACTCACCCAGATCCTATTTTCACGTCCAGTTGAAAGCAGCTAAACATTGTCATGGCTCCAGATGCACACAAATTCAAAGTATGCTGCTCTCCAGAGGTGAGTGTGCACTTCCAGCACAAAGGTGCCTGCATCTATGTGCACAGCTGTGGCACCAGGGACCCATCCAGCTGTGGGTGCACACGATGCCCAAGCCTCGCAGCTGTGCGCACCAGCTGCACCCCAGTTCTGAATCATAAAAGCCTGCTGTCTCCCAGCTGTGCACAATGGCCCGAAAAAGCCTCCAGATGTGAACCAGTGTTGGAGCACATTCGTACCCCAGATGAGCTGAGCTGCACAGGCCCCCTTTCATCTGTAGGTGTGCATCCAGATGTGTGTGCCTGGTGGCCGCTTCTTCCAGATTTATGGCAAGGGGGGAGCACAGGCGCCTCCAGATGTGCACACAGATGTCACCCAGCTGTCTCCCCATCACCCGTTCCTCTTCCCAGCCACCTCTTCCCATCCCGCCCGCACACCCCAAGCCCCCTCGCTGCCCCCACCCCCTCGCCAGCCGCAGCTTTGTGCTTTTCCAGCCTGGTCATTAGTGCCACCCTAACGAGCCCCTTCTCACGCCAGGGGGATGCAGCTGGGGGGCCATGCTCAGGCTCCAATTAGCGCCGGGAGCAGCCAGCTCCGAAAAGGTGCATTGCTTCACACGGTAGCCCGTCGCATTAATAAATCCGCTAATTGCCAATTATGAATTTGAGAGGCGTTTTGCAAAGGCAGAGCAGGGGGTGACGGCAGAGGCGGGACCCGGCATACTGTGGGATCGTCCTGGGCTCCCCAGCAGCATCTTCGTCCCCTTCGTCCTCCTCCTCCCTCCATCCCCCTCGGCTGGGGGGAGTAGCTCAGGACCCCCCTGCCCCCCCTCCAAGGGTGACCGCCGCTCCCCGGGTCCCCCCCCCTTTTCTCTCCGCCCCCCACCTCTGTGCCCCCCCCCCTCCGCTTCTCGCTGGCCTCGCCCCCGCTCCCCGCCGGGACAGGGGGGCGGTGCCGAGCCGAGCCGAGCCGAGCCGAGTCTTGCCGTGCTGAGTCTTGCCGTGCTGTTCTGGTCTGGCAGTGCCGAGCTGAGCCGAGCCGAGCCGTGCCGGATCCGGCCAAGCCGTGCCGGGTCCGGCCGTGCCGAGCCGTGCCAGGATGCTGCGGTACCTGCTGAAGACGCTGCTGCAGATGAACCTGTTCGCGGACTCGCTGGCGTCCGAGATGTCCAACTCCTCCGAGCTGCTGCTCGGCCTCAACGGCAGCATCACCGCGCTCGACCTCCACAACCTCACCGCCGGCAACGGTACGCGCCCAGCCCCGCGTCCCGGCCCCGCCGTCCCGGCCCCGCCGCTGGAAGCAGCGCGCAGCCCCCAGCCCCGACCCGGGACCTGAACGGGGACCGGCCCCGCGTCCTCACACGCGGATCCGTCCCGTGTCCCCAGAGCAGCCCCATTTTCCAAAGCCTGTGCCTTGTCCTGTGACTGGGAGCGGCTTCGCATTCCCAGACAAGATCCGTGTTTCCCAAACCGACCCTGCGACCCCGCGCCGGGAGCGCCGCATGTTCCCAAATCGTCTCCGTACCCCAAACCGAGGCCACTCTCGTATTCCCAAAGCCGCTGCGCTCCCCGAGCCGGGAGGGTCTCCGGGGCAGAGGCGGTACCGGAGGGACGGGGGGGGCCGGCTGCATTTAGAGCACTTTTTGAGTTCTTCCCCTCTCTTCCCCTCTCTTTGCGCCCAAAATTTTTGCTCCGTTTGGGTCAGGGCGGGCCGATCAGGGAGGGGGAGCCCTGCTGCGGGAGCCCCCCTGCGGGAGCCCCTTGTCCCATCGCAGCCGGCTGGGCTCGGCAAGGGGCCCGGCTCGGCCCCCCTGCTCGTCCCAATTAGCCCCGCGCCCAGCAGCGCCCCTCGGGGTGCCTGGAACCCCGCAGCATCCCGTCCCCACGGCAGCGCATCCCTGTCGCCAAGGGCTTCCCTCTGTCCCGCAGGGGTGACCCTCCCGGCTCTCGGTGCCCCTTACCCGCACGCCCCCCCCCCCCCCAGCCCATCTGCGTGTGACAGCAGTGACACTCCGTGACCGAAGCCCGAACTGCAGCGCCGGCGCTGGGGCACGCCGAAATGGCACTGGGGGACCCGTCGGGACACACCGCTGGTGGCCCTGGGGACACAGCGGGCCGTGCCACTCGGTCACAGACTGGAGGAAGCCGGGGCTGGGGCGTCATTAAAGTCCCGCTCTTTAATTAACTGCCGAAGGGCTCGCCGAGGGGCTGGGATTTCTTGGCCCGCTCCAGTTTGGGGGTCTCTGTGTGGCAAACGCTGCTCTGAACTCTGGCTTGGTACAAATCAATGCAGGCACCAGCATTAATGAGTGTTAATTAATTCTCCTGCCTTAACGATAGGGATTTCCCTGGATTCATTGAGAAACAGACACACAGACTTGATGGGGAGGGGAGGCTTTTTTTTTTTTTTTTAATTAAAACCAAACATTTTCTGCAACTTAATGTCACCAACTCCTGGCGTGCCACATCCCAGGGGAAACAGGCACCAAAAGTACCAAACAGGGACAAACCGTGCTGCACTGAGCTCTTTGGTACAGACCCTTTAATTGCTGACCCCCCCCCGGCTGCAGCCACCACCCTGCCCTGCGGGTCCACCGCTCCTGGGACAGTGCCCGCACACTGTGGGCCCTGACTACCCTTCTCTTCTCCACCACTGCCCAGGTTTTCTGGTCCAGCATCCTTCCCAGGCCAGGACATGTGTCCCCCTCCCTGTCACTGTCCCCATCCCTGCCCTTGCTCCTGTTCCCGTCCTTGTCCCCATCATCATCCCTGTTCTTGTCCTTGTCCCCATTCTAGTCCCCATTCTCATGCCCAACCCTGTCCTTGTCCCCATCCCCATTCCAATCCTCGTCCTGACTCCCCCTCTCCCTCCCTCTCTCCCTCTCCCATTTCCATCCTGTCTCTATCCCTATCTATGTCCCCGTCCCCACATCTCCTGCCCTATACTCTCATGGCCTTGCTCCCAGCCCCCAGTCCACACAGGGAAGGGGACACAGGAGTGACACGGGGGGGGCGGAGGATGCACGGGAGCCCTCCCCACTGCCAGCTGAGCCCTGGACACACTTCATCTCACCTCCTGGGGGCTGAGCATCCTCAGGGTATGCAACACACTTCCTCAGGGTCCCACCCCCAGCTGGAGGACTCGGCACCCCGCATCGTGGAGCACCCCTCAGACCTGCTGGTGTCCAAGGGTGAGCCGGCCACGCTGAGCTGCAAGGCAGAAGGACGCCCCCCGCCCACCATCGAGTGGTACAAGGACGGTGAGCGGGTGGAGACGGACCATGAAGACCCCCGCTCCCACCGCACGCTGCTGCCCAGCGGCTCTCTCTTCTTCCTCCGCATCATCCACGGCCGCCGTGGCAAACCTGACGAGGGCGTCTATGTCTGTGTGGCCAGGAACTACCTGGGTGAAGCCACCAGCAGGAATGCCTCACTGGAGGTGGCTGGTGAGCACCCTCCATGCTGCCACCCCCTTTTCCCAGCCACTGGCTTGGGGCAGAGCTGCTGCCCTGGTCAGTACTGGAAAATGTCATGAGGAACGGGTCATTTGGAGGGGCATTGGGGGATATCAGGGCTCTTCCAGCCCCCCTCTGTTTCCCTGTTGTCACCTCTGATCTGGGCTGCTGCTGGATGAGGGGGTGAACATCCCCGCCCTCCCGCCGCCCCCCTCCCCCCAGCCCTGATGCTGCTAAATGAAAACAAGTGAAAATATTGTACCTGGTGGCATCCCCTGGCTTCCCTCGCTTTGTTGGGTGGCTCGGTGGCACCCTGGGGTCCTGCAGGGCTGGGTGTCAGCCCTGGGAACAAGCCCCAGGACCAGGGTTTGGGGGTGATGGGGGACACGAGAGGGATGGGGGTGGATGCACAATGGGGGACAGTCTGCACTGGGCTTGGATTAAGCACCAGAATTGCTCCTTGGTCATGCAAACATTAACTGCAGCATCACTGGGTCTGTTGCTGTACCCTGGGAAATCATTGCCATGCTGGGAAAGGGTATTTTTTGCCCACAAAAGGGGTTCCTGCTGCAGAAGGAGCATACAGATGGGGAAACTGAGGCAGGGCTGACGCTGTGGCATCCCTCCCCTCCCAGTGCTGCGGGATGATTTCCGGCAGCCCCCCGGGGATGTGGTGGTGGCGGTGGGTGAGCCGGCCGTCCTTGAGTGCGTTCCACCCCGTGGTCACCCTGAGCCCACTGTCTCATGGAAGAAGAACGGCGCCCTGCTCAATGACAAGGATCAGCGCATCACGGTGAGGGACAGGGTGGTCCCCAAAAACCAGGGTTGGTGTTTGGGCCCTGGCTGAGCTCGGCTTCCCGGCAGATCCGTGGTGGGAAGCTGATGATGGCCACCACACACAAGAGCGATGCTGGCATCTACGTCTGCGTGGCCACCAACATGGTGGGGGAGCGGGACAGCGAGCCGGCTGAGCTGGTGGTCTTCGGTGCGTGGGGGCGAGGATGTGTTTTTCGGGGTGCTGGGGGTGGCAGGGCTGTGACAGACAGCAGCTGCCCCACAGAACGCCCCACATTCAGCAAGTGGCCACTAAACCAAGCGGTCCTGGTGGATGAGATGGCTGAGTTCCCCTGTGAGGCACTGGGGGATCCCCAGCCCACAGCCCGCTGGCGCAAGGAGGACGGTGAGCTGCCACCGGGAAGGTAAGTGGTGGGCGAGGGGCTGGCACAGAGGTTGCCACAGCCGGTGCTGGGATGGGCATCTGTAATGGGGCTGGGTATGCTGGTACCTCATCCCATGTCCTCACTGCATCCCACATCCCCATCGCATTCCACATCCTTGCATCCTGGATCTCCACCACACCTACATCCTCATCACATGCTGCCTCCCCTTCACATTCCACATCCCCAACACAATGGTTCCATCTTGCAACCACATCCCTGCTTGCATCCTGCATCTCCCACCATGTCCCCCTCACACCCCACATCCCCATCACACCCCATGTCCCCATGGCACCCTTGTGGCACCCCGGTGCCCTGCTGGTGCCGTGGGCTTGGGGGGTCCTCCCCAGGTGGGAGCTGCTGGCTGACAACACCCTGAGGATCAGCCGGGTGCGTGTGGAAGATGAAGGCACCTACACCTGTGTGGCCGAGAACAGCGTGGGCAAGTCAGAGGCCTCAGGCACCCTCATCGTGCGTGGTAAGGGGGGACCCCTTAGGAGCACCCCAGCATGCTTGCAAGTATGCAACCCCCCCTTTTCTTTCTGTCTCCCCCCTGTACCAGTGCCCCCCCAGCTTGTCACCTGGCCCCATAACCAGAGCGTCCCCCCTGGCCACAGCGTGACCTTCCAGTGTGAGACCACAGGCAATCCGCCACCAGCCGTGTTTTGGCAGAAGGAAGGCAGCCAGGTCTGTCCCCTGCACTGTCCCCAGACCTCCGACACCCCCGCCCCCACCACACAGCAGAGCTTTGCCTCCCTTCCTCCCCCAGACGCTGCTGTTCCCGGGCCAGCCTCCCCAGCCAGCCAGCCGCTTTTCGGTAGCCCCCGGTGGTGCCATGACCATCGCTGCCGTCCAGCCGACCGACGCAGGCTATTACCTGTGCCAGGCCATCAGTGTGGCCGGTAGCGTCCTGGCCAAGGCACTGCTGGAGGTGGAGGCGGGTAGGTGGGCGCCAGGTCAAGCAGAAAATGTGCGTTTTCAGCACACCTGCTGAACTGTGGCAGGGAAGGGGAGGGGGGTCATTTGGATATTTCCCCCACCCTGCAGCACCCACTGAGCATGGGCCACCTGTCATCCACTGGGGCCCCGCCAACCACACGGTGCTGCCAGTGGGGGCCACGGTGTGGCTGCCCTGCTGGGTGGCCGGTGACCCCCAGCCCCACGTGGCGTGGCTGAAGGACGGCCGGGCCATGCCGGGCCCCGAGACCCGCACCAGCCTGCTGGAGAATGGCACCCTGCAGATCAGCAGCCTGCGGGTGAGCCGTCCTGCTGGGGAGAGCCCTGAAGGACCGGGGGGGGCTGAGATGGGGAGTGGGGTGCAAGGGGTGGTGGGTGCCCAAGGTGCTGGGTGCCCAGGGTGCTGGCTGCTCAGGACAATGGGGCAGGAGCTCTTCCCTTTGCAGGTGACAGACTCGGGGCAGTATGAGTGTGTGGCCACCAGCTCAATGGGTGAGACGCGTTGGAGTGGGACCCTGCAGGTGCAAGGTGAGTTGTGGGGATGCTGTGGGACCAGGGAAGCCATGGGACTGGGGAAGCAGCTGCCATGGGTCTCAGCACCTCTCCTCACAGGTGATGGATCTGGACTTTCCCCACCACCCCCAGAGCCTGCCATCCTCCCCCAGCCACCCTCCACCCCTCTGGTCACCAACTGTCACTAAAAGCAGTGTTACCCTGAGCTGGAAAGGGAATGAGCAAAGCAGTGGCACTACTGTCACCTATGTTGTGGAAGCTTTCAGGTATCCCACAGCTGCCCCCTCCAGGTTCAGTGGGGACCTGGTGGCCCGGTGCCACCCTGCCATGGGTCACCTTTGTCCCCTGGCAGTGAGGCAGCAGGTGGCCCGTGGCAGACAGTGGCAGCCAACGTGGAGGGCGAGACACACACTGTGAGTGGCCTTGTCCCTGACACCGTCTACCTCTTCCTGGTGCGGGCAGTCAGTGCCCATGGGCTCAGCGACCCCAGCGGAGTCTCAGAGCCCATCCGCACCCAAGGTGAGACCCAGAAGAGGTGCAAAGGGACCCAGAACCCTTTGGTGCATCACTGTGGCCATGCACCCAACACCATCCTGCTTTTTGGCAGATGCCAGCCCCACGCAGCCAGGCCTGAACCCTCAGCAGGTGCCAACGGAGCTTGCGCAAGTGGCCGTGCACCTGCAGGAGCCAGTGGTGCTGCCACCAGGTGCCGTCCGCCTCTCCTGGACTGTGAGTGCAGGGACATGGTGGGAGAGGAGGGGGACATGATGCAGCACATCCCATGACCCCCCTACCCTGTTCCCATCCCTTGTGCCCCCAGGTGGAGCCCCCATCGCCCTTCGTGCAGGGCTACCAGGTGCTGTACCGGCGGCGTGGTGGGCGCTGGGAGGCACGGGACGTGCGGGCACCAGGCGAGCGGGGTGCCCTGCTCACTGGGCTGCGCCGCGGCCAGGACTACGAGGTGAAGGTGCGGCCCTACTTCCACCATCTCCACGGTCCTGACAGTGCTGTGCGTGCCCTGCGCACCCCCGAGGCGGGTGAGTGTGGGAATAGGGTGTGGGGATATGGGGCAGCACGGCCATGACACCCCGCGTCGCCCCACAGCCCCCAGTGCCCCACCACGGGCTGTCAGTGCAGTGGGGAATGGCACCAGTGTCCGCATCTCGTGGCAGCCGCCACCGCTGGCTGAGCAGAATGGTGTCATTCGTGACTATCGGGTAAGTGGGGCCAGCAGGGGCCCACATCCCCATCACATCCCACATTCTCGTCGCATTCTTGTTGCATCCCACATCCTCATTGCATCCTACATCTCCAGCCCATCCCACGTCCCCACTGAATCCTGTATCCCCATCACATCCCGCATCTCCATCTCGTTTCACATCTTTATCACCCGCATTATTCCCATTCGTCTCTCAAGCCCTCGCTGCATCCCACGTCCCCATCACACCCCACGTTTCCCTCTGCCCCCTCCCCCCCCCGCCATAAAGATGCATCCCCCCACCAGATCTGGTGCCTGGGCAACGAGAGCCGATTCCACATCAACCAGAGTGTGGAGGGGACGGTGCTGGCAACGGTGCTGCAGGGGCTGGTGCCTGGTGTCCCCTATCGTGCTGAGGTGGCAGCGGCCACCGGCGCGGGTGTGGGTGCTCGCAGTGCACCTGTCCCCATCCATATTGGTGAGTGCCCCCGCACTGTGCAGGACCCACGGGTGGGGGCTACAGGGGTCCTCCTTGTGGTGGGTGCTGTGGTTGGCTCCTTGGAACCTGCTGGTTCCCCCTCTGCTTGCAGCACCTCCTGTGGAGCGGGAAGCAGGGCCAGTAGGCCGGGGTGGTGTGGCTGAGCACTTGGCAGAGATGGCGAGGAGGCCGGCCTTCATCGCTGGCATTGGCGGTGCCTGCTGGCTTGTCCTCGCTGGCTTTGGTGCCTGGCTCTATGGCCGCCGCCGGAGGAGGAAGGAACTGAGCCACTTCACGGGTACGGGCACAGGCACGGCCCTGGGTGTCCCAGATCCACTTGTCCCCAGCGCCCACACAGGGTTCCTCTCCTTGCAGCCTCCTTCGCCTACGCGCCCACGGGTGCACCTATGGGTGCTGCAGGGCCCTGCCGTGGCCCCACTGCACTCTCGGCCCAGCCTCCATCTCTCTCTGCGCTCACCTTTCTGCACACCCCGGCTCCGGCGCGTGGCAGCCCCAGGTAATAGCACGGCCCCCTGGGAACTGCAGCCCACCCGGGATGCCCCCTCAGCCTGTGTCCTCACAGGGCTGCCGTTGGTGGTCACCCGTGGCTGGTGGACGCGTGGTGTGGTGGTGGCACCAGCAGCCTGGACACTGCTGAGAGATACTACAACGGTGAGGGGTCAGCTCGGGGTGGGGGCTGGCAAGGGGCTGGGGGTGGAAGCCAGTTCTGACAGGGCCGGCCATGCTCCGCAGAGGCTGGCATCTCCCGCTACATCGCCCAGACGGAGCCATTTGGGGCGGGGGCCACCGAGGGACCCATCTACAGCAGCATCGAGGTGGGCAGCGAGGAGCTGCGCACCTTCCACCGTCCCTGCTCGCAGCACTGGCCTCGAGCCACTGGCCACCCTGTACGCCCACATGGCCCCCGGCCGCCCCGAGCACGGTAGGGCCATGGCAGTGCCAGGGGGATGCGGGGACGTTGTGGGGCATCCCTGTCTCTGCAGCCCCACGTCCCTAACCCCAAAGGGAAAAAACTGGGGAAAGCGGTGCAAACGCCCATGCTGAGCTGGACGGAGCTGCTGCCCCCACCACCCTCAGCCAGCGAGCTCAGCCAGTACGCTGAGGAGGAAGAGGTGAAGAAGGAGGAAGAGGAAGAGGAGGAGGTGGTGGAGGAAGAAGATGAGGAGGGCAGGTAAGTGCATGTGGCCAGGGGGGCTGTGGCACGCTGGCCCCAGCGCCCACCCCGTGCCCCCTGCAGCTTGGGGCTGGAGGACCGGTGTCCCCTTGGGGAGGACGTCCTTCAGCCCGCCGCCTCCTCACCTGCCACCCCTGCCGGCTGCTGGTCCCCTGCCGTGCTGGCACCTGCACCCCGCGAGGACATCTGCAGCCCCCACCGCTTCGACAGCCCCCGCCTGCCCCGGTAGGAGATGCCACTTGCTCAGGCTGCCAGGCCCGCCTCACCCGATGTCCTGTCGTGACATAGCACAACGGGGACACGGCACCGCGGTCCGGGCGTAACACTGAGGTCCAGACAGGGCAGCACCACCCGGCTGTGCTGCCACCGTGCAAGTTGGCTGCGGCTTTGCAATCCAGCTGTGCTGCCAGGCCACCAGCACAGCACGGGGGGCTCCTCTATGCTCCCCCCACTTCCCCACCCCTTTCAGGCAGCGTCGATGATCCCCAGCCCCACATCACCCCTCCCTCTTTCCCAGGAGGCCCCCCCACTGGCACAGGACCACCACCAAGCCCCTCACTTGAGCTCCCATGGCCCAGACACAAGCGAGGGCCACATGCCCCGAGCCCACCGCCCCCATGGCACAGGTGAGCCGTGGGGTGCCAGTGCAAGGGCTGGGGGTGTCTCACCACCGGGGCGGGGGTCTGATGCTCCATCACTCCCAGGGAAAACCCGCTCAGAGACCCTGAAGAGTCGCCCGAAGCCCAAAGGAAGCCGCTATCGCCGGGAGCAGCATCTAGGAGGTGAGTGGGTGTCCGGGGGAGGGGGGAAGGGGCCACCCAGTGGCGCTCAGCCCCCGCTCCCTCCCTGCAGCAGACCTGCCGCCACCACCGCCACCACCGCTGCCGCCCCCAGGTGAGACCCCCAGCCAGGAGCCAAGCGGTGCTGAGCGCAAGGCTGCCCATCGCCCACCCCGCCAGGGTAAGCCCTCCCTGGGAGCCGATCACAACAACAAGTGTCAGGGTGGAGGCTGCCACCAGCGCTGTTCCCTCCCCCGCAGGTGACATCGTCCCCTACAGCAAGCCCTCCTTCCTGGCCCATGGCTGCTCCACCACTGGCAGCGCCTCGTCCCGTGGCTCCACCAGCTCCCGTGGCCATGGCTCAGGGCGCAGCCGCCACCCAGACCCGCTGTCACCCTGCCCGCCGCATGAGGAGCGATGAGGCAGCACGGGGACAGTGACACAGGGACAGGGATGTTGGGGTAGAAATGGGATGCTGATTAATTTTGGTCTGAGATGCATAAATAGGTGTGCACAGAGCCAGTGGGGTGGGCAGAAGCTTGAGGGAGGGACGAGGATGCTCTGGGTGGGGACAAGGATGCTGAGGATGCCTGAGGATGCTCGGAAGGGACAAGGATGCTCAGGAGGGATTAGGAGGTTTGGGACAGCCCAGGACAGTCGCAGGGGATGAGGGTGCCCCAGAAGGACGAGGACCCTGAGGCCAAGGCTTGTTGGGAGGGACGAAGGGAGGAAGAGCAGGAGGGGCACCCGCTGCCCCAGTGCTGCCCATCCTTTGCATGTAGCTTTTTCTAGCGGAGAGCCCCTTTTGGGGGAAACAATGAATAAAGCTGGATTTTAGCCAAGCCAGGCAGGCTCTGGCCTTCCCACCTTCTATATGCTGGGGGCTGCCGTGTTCCCGTCTCTCCTGTCCCTGGCAAGGAGCCCGCCCTGCTTGCTGGCCACCCTGGCCCAGGGGCTGCCCGTCCCTGTCCCCAGGGCCACCTCCCCACAGAGAGGGAACGATGCCTGGCGACTCACGGGGACAAGGGCTCCATCGGCATCCTCGAGGCTGAAGCAGAGGCTGTCAACAGCCACAGCCAGAGCCCGGGCAAAGCTGGCATCGAGGAGGAAGGAGCCATCAGAAGAGCTCGCCAGGCTGCAGCGGGTGCTGGGGACATTTCCCTCTGAGACGGAGCCCCAGCCATTCAGCAGAGACCCCCCTGGGGAGCCCCCCTGGTCCCACACGTCTGTCTTCTCTTCCTCCTCGTCCTCCTCCTCTTCCTCCTCCTCCCCATCGCCCAGCTCTGAAGCAGAAGGTCCGCAGATGTACCCGTAGGTGTGCGGAGGGGAGAGGGGCCGGGGCACAGGGACACACCGGGGATGTGTTGGGGACGCCGCTGACATCGGGGGATGCTCCATCCCTGGGGTGTCCATGGGGTGGGCGGCCTCCCGTGCCTGCTCTAGGTCCTTGGCCACCTGCTGTGGCGTGAGGACCCCATCAGCTGAGTGCCAGCGAAAGGTGGGCAGGGTCTGGGGACGCATCCTCAGGGTGCCTGGTGGCCAGGAGCATGTTCTTGGGGTGTCCAGTGACAGTGGCCAAATCCCTGGGGTGCCTGGTGACCACGGATGTATCCTCAGGGTACCTGGTGTCTGGGAACACATCCCTGGGATGTCTGGTGACCAGGAACGTGTCCCTCGGATGTTTGGTGTCTGGTGATGTGTCCTTGGGGTGCCCAGCAACTGGGGACTTGTTCTCATGATATGTGGTGAGCAGGGAGTGCCCAGTGGCTGGAGACATGTCCCTGGGGCGCTTGGTGACTGGGGACATTTCCTTAGAGTGCCTAATGACTGGGGACATGTCCTCAGGGCACCTGCTGACAGGGGACATATTCCCGGGGCACCCCCTGGCTGGTGACATATCTTTGCCGTGCCTGGTGGCCAGGAACACATCCCTGCAGCTCCCTGCTACTGGGGGCGTGTCTATGGGGCTCCTGGTGACTGGAGACGTGTCCCGGGGGTTCCTGGTGACCAGAGATGCATCCTTGGGGTGCCTCATGACCAGGGACACATCCTTGGGGCTCCTTGTGACTGGGGACATGTCCCTGGGCCTCCTCAGGACTGGGGACATGTCCCTGGGGTTCCTGGGGACTGGGGACATGTCCCTGGGCCTCCTCGGGACTGGGGACATGTCCCTGGGGTTCCTGGGGACTGGGGACACGTTCCTGGGGCTCCTGGTGACTGGGGACGGGTCTCTTGGGTTTCCAGTAACTGGGGACATGTCCCTTGGGCACCCAGTGGCCAGGAACCTGTAGGCACAAGGTACACACTGGCTTTTGCCACTGGTCCAGCTTGCAGCACGTGGCTGGGGTGCAGGAAGGAGCCACCCCATAGCACCCAGGGCATCCCCAGGAGATGTGTAGACTCACCGAGTCCCTGCAGGGTGCCAGGCGCGGGGCTGCCCTCGGGGTGCCACCAGTGTCTCAGTGCCAATGGATGCCAGTGAGGCACTGCCCCGCCGTGCTTTTGGGGAGATGAGAGCTGGCAGCCACCATAGGTCCCCTCCTGCCAGTGCAGCGTCGCCGTCCTGTCCCTTCTGCTGAAGCAACCCAGCCTCCAGGCCAAAACGTGTCCCCCACTCACCACCACTCACGGGGATGGGAATGGTCCCGAGTCCTGGCTGCCACCACTGGGGTGCTGTGCACTCGGTCCAGCTCTGCGTGGGGACACAGCCACCGTGAGCAACCTCCAGGTATCCCTGTGGTGCACTCCCCCCATCCCGATGCTCTGTCCCCACCTCGCTTGTGGATGCGCTCCCAGGGTGCTGGGCTCAGGGTGCTGGGTTTGCGGTGTCCCCTGCGATGGTCGCTGCAGCTGGGGGATGTCGCAGGACTGAGGCTCGGTGGCTCCGAGGACAGGGCTGTCAGGGCAAGAGCTGTCAGGGCTGGGCACCCGTGGGTGCTGAGCCCCTTGCCCCCTGCACCCCAGGCTCTGTCTGTCCCCGGGTTTCTGCTGCCTGCAGAGAGGGTCTGGTGGCACTGAGGGGGACCGAGGAGGGGGAGTCCTGTGGCATCAGGGGGTCCCATGCATGAGGTGAGGATCTCGGGCACCCTTCGAAGGTCCCTTAATACCCTGTGGGGGTCACAGGTACTGTGTGAGGGGTTCCATGGCATCACATGGGGGTTCCCATTGGGCATGTTAGTGTCCCAGGTACCAGATGGGGGACCCGTAGCACCTTAGGGGGGTGGTGCCAGGTGCTCAGTGGGCATCCCAGGGTCGTGGGTGAGGAGTCCCAGGTATTCTATGGGGGTCCCCTAGCACCCCGGGGGGGGGTGGTCCTAGGCATTGGGTGGGGGTCCCATAGCACTCTGTGGTGCTCCCATAGCACAGGGTGAAGGGTCCCAGGCACTGGGGGGTAGTCCTACAGCAGCGGGGGAGGGGGAGGGGTCCCATAGCCATGGGTGAGGGCTCCCGACACGGAACTCACGGGAGGGCTGGGGGTCCCTGCTGTCGCTGCCCAGGAGCCGGCTGCTGAGGCTGCTGCTGCCACTGAGGTTCTGGGGGACGCAGCTGGGTTTCCAGGGGCTGCTGAGCCATGGCGCATCGCTGTCCCCCTCTCTGCAGGGCAACAGCATCTGCCATCAGCGTCCTTGTCCCTGCTGTGCCAGGGACCCTGTTGCCACCCCCCCCCCTCCAAGCCACTCACCTGTGGCGTGCCAAGGCATCCTGCCTGGCATGGCGCTGGCAGAGGAGGAGGAGGAGGGCGAGCAGGGCCAACCATAGCAGCGAGCCAGCAGCTGCGATGACAGCAGGCTGCCGCAGAGCCCGCACCACCCCAGTGCTCCCTGCCGTCACCTCTGCAAGGGCATGGCTGATGTCACCTCTGTGCCACTGCTGCGTCCTCCCCCCCCACGCCCCATCATGGTCCCCGTCCCCTACCCAGGACACTGCAGGTGGCATTGCTGGGGACCCCCAGCCCTGCGCCGTTGAATGCGGCCACCTGGATGCAGTATCTGGCCCCGGAGACAGGCAGGGGGATCTCCAAGCGGTGGGTGCCTCTGTCCACTGTCCTGTTGGTGGGGTGCAACCAGCCCTCGCCCAGACACCAGACCTGGTTTGGGGGCCGATAGGTGGTGACCCTGCACTGCCACACTAGCATGTGCATGGGTGCCCCGTTGAATAGACTCCCCTGGGATGGACTCTTATTGATGGGTCCCTCTTGGATATACCCCTTGGTTGATCCCCATAGAGAGATCCCCTTGGTGAAAACCCCTTTTGGATTAGGTCTCCTTGGATGACCTCCCTTAATAAACTTCTTGGATGGTTCTCCCTGGATGGACATAATCCCTCCCCCCCCCCCCTTGGATGGGTCCCATTGAATATACCTCCTTGGATGGTTCCCCCACCTTGGATGGACCCCTCTTGGGCACAACCCCCACCAGGAATGAATTCCCCCTTGGATGACCCCCCTTGGATGGAACTCCCTCCATGAATGGATTCCCCCTTGGATGGATTCCCCTTTCACAGCCCCTCTACCCCCCTCAATGAAACCCTCTTAGATGGACCTCTCAAATGGATCCTCATTGGCCAGCAACCCCCAGTGCCCCCCGTCACCCAAACCTGGTAGCCCCGAATGATGCCATTGTGAGCATCAGGGGGAGGTGGTTCCCATCTCACGACAACGGTGCTGTTCCCTGGCTCAACCTGGCCCACGGTGACATGCTGGGGCGCCGCGCTTGGCACTGCCGGGACAGCAATGCTGAGACCCTGAGACCTCCATTGCCCCCCTCATCCCACCCACCACCCCAGTGTACCTTCCTCAGGGATCCAGAGGTGCCAGCTGTTGCTGTCCAAGCCCCAGGCCCCTTTGGCATAGGGCCGGACCTTGAACTCATACTGGTAGCCCCGTTGGAGCGCAGGGATGACAGTGCTGAGCTCCCTGCCCACATCCTGCTGGGACCAGGCGGTGCCGACAGGGAGCAGGCAGCGGTACAGCACCGCGTAACCCTCTGGCGCTGGCCCTGGCGTCACCATCTGGAGGGGATGAAAAAGGCTGTAGGGACACAGCCAGGACATGGGAAGAGGGCCCCCTCCCAGCCTGGTCTCTTTGGGTGTCCTGGCAGTACACGTACCCGCCAGCGGAGCCAGGCGGCAGCGGTGGTGGGCAGCGCGGTGCCATTATCCAGCTGCAGCCGCATGGCCAGCAGGTCCTGCAGCGTGACCTCCCGCCGGCCTGCAGGCAAAAGGTCTGCAGGGAAAGGTTAGTGTAGTGGTGGCGCCTGCACCCCAGATAGCCATGCTTGGGGCCCCCGATGTCTCCTTGGATGGACCCACTTGAATGGCCCCCTTGGATGGACAGCTCTTGGATGGCCTCCTTGGATGGACCCCATAGTAGACTCATATTGTTTCATCCTTCTTAGATGGACTCTCTGGATGGATCCCTCTTGGCTGGATCCCACTTTAATGGGAATCCACCCCCCTGCCTTAGATAGATCCCCTTGGAGGAACTTGCTTGGTTGGATCCTGCTTATACAGACTCAATGGACTCTCTTGGACAGGTTCGCCTTTGACGAACCTCCTTGGATGGACACTCCTTAGTCTGACCCTTACTTGGATGATTCCCCTTAGACGGACCTCATCTATATGGAACCCCTTGGATGTAGCCTCTTGTATGGAACCCTTCAGATGGACCTCCTCAGCCAGAGCCCTCCTTTTGGAAGGAGCCCCTAGGATGCACTCTCCCTGAATGAAGCCCCTTGGATGGCCCTTCTTTGATGGACCCCCTTGGATGGACTCCCCTTGGATGACCCACGTGGATGGACCCCACTAAGATGGCCCCCACAGACAGTCCCCTGGATGACCCTGTGCACTGGCACTGACCCTCCACTTGGACACGAGCGGTGGCAGCGGCGCTGCCCAGCTGGCTCTGGGCTGTGCAGATGTAGGTGCCAGCATCGGCGGCTGTCACGGCGTAGAGGCGCAGCGTGTGCTCTTGGTCCACCTCGTGCCTGCAGGCACCAGTACCCCGTCACCCTTGTCACACACCCTGGGGAGGTGACGCTGCCACCCTGCCACCACCTACCTCCCCCAGGGCAAGTCTCCATTCTCTTTGTGCCACTGCACCCGTGGCGTGGGATCACCCTGCGCACTGCAGCCCAGCTCCACTGTGCCACCAGCCACCACCACGGCATCACTTGGCTGCCGCACAATGGCTGGCTTCTCTGCAGGGAGGGGACATCGGTGAGGTTACGTGGCACATTCCCATGTCCCAGGCCCCTGCACCACCACCACTTACCTAGGACAGTGACGTGGGCGCCCCGGCTGTGCCGCTCACCTGCCGCGTTGGCCGCCACGCAGACATAGACCCCCGCGTCGGTCCTGCGTGCTGGGGCCACCCGCAGCTTCCCGCGGGTGACCTGATGACGTCCCCCAGCTGGGCGCAGGGTGACGCCGTCCTTCCTCCAGGAGACACGGGGCTCGGGGTGCCCAGCGGGAGGCACGCAGTCCAGCTCCAGCACCTGGCCCGCTGTGGCCACCAGATCGCCAGGCTGCAGGCGGAAATTGTCCCGCAGCACTGCGGGAAAGGGGACACCACCCTGGGTGGGGACACATTCAGGGTGTCCCATCCCCCCGCCCATCACTGTCTCCTGTCCCCAGGTTGTCCTTACCAGCTGGGCGCTCCACCATGGTGTGGGGCTCTGCGTCCCCCCCGAGGGGGTGGCAGCCCCCCAGGCACAGTGCAGTGGCCCAGAGCCCCAGCCTGAGTGCTGTGGCCCAGCCGCTCGCCATGGCCTCTGCGTTTCCTCCCAAGATCCGGTCCCTCCCAGCTAGGGTACAATGGCCGGATGCAGGGGACGGGAAGTGCTGGAGGGACACGAGCAGCTCAGCTGCGGGAGCAGCCACTGGGTTGAAGGGAAGAGCAAGTTAAGAAGAAATGAGCCGTCAGCTTGGAGCTGGGAGGCCTGAAGGGCAGGCTGCCATTGGTAGGGACCAGAGTGAACAGCCTCAAGGGGGCACTGCAATCTGAAATATGGCAGAAATTTCAGCGTTTCCCAAACTGCCCCTGGTGCTGCTTCCCCCCATGGTGAGATCTCCCTGCCAGCCGTCCCCTAGACCTCATTCTTTTTGCAGCTAAGACATGCTCAATAGGTGTACCTGAGCCCATCAGTCCTCAGCTGCCACCCTCCTCCCCCATGTTGCCCCGACCCCCCAAGCACACCAGGCACCCCCAGGCTGAGTAACACATTTAGTTTATTAGTTAGTAGCATTTGTGGGTGCTCACACACCCCGAGCACCCCGGGGTGCCCCAGCACCCACCCCGGTGACCCAGTCCTCCAGCTTTGTCCTAAACCTATTCCTCGGGAAGCCTGGGGCAATGCGAATGGGTGTGCCAAAAAACGGGTGATTTTCACAGAAAATCCATAGGCAGCAGCGGGCGGGTCTGGCTGGTGGCTGGGAGAGGAGTGTTCACTTACGGGGCCTGGGCCCGTGTTTTGGGGACAGCACAGCCAGGGAGCTGGGGGGGCCTTCCACCTGTGTGCATGGGTGTGAGTGCACGTGAGAGCCTGCACGCTAGTTTGTGTGCACAGGGCTGTGTGTGTGTGTGCAAAGGTGCTCTTGCACATGCAAGGTGCATGCATGCTTTCTCTGCACACCCTGTGCATGCTCCCTGCACACTCGTGCATACTTCGTTCATGCCCTTCTCACCGGTTCCATGCACGCTCCATCTGCACGCTCCATGTATGCTCTTGCTGAACACTCATGGTCTCTGCACACTTCATGCACACGCGAATGCTGACACACTTTTTCTGCAAATGCCATGCACACTTACCTGCACGCCCCAAGCACACACCGTGCGCGCTTTCTCCACATGCTCCATGAGCACTACCTCCACACAATCCATGCTTTGTGTATGCTCTCCTGACATGCTTTATGCATGGCCTTTTACATGCTAAATGTGTAATCCCTGCACACTGTGCGCATGCTCTGTCTGAACACTCTTGTGCATGCCCTCTTATATCCTTTGTACATGCTCTTTCTGCTTGCTCCAAGCTGCTCTTTCCACATGCTCCTTGCATGACCTCTTGCATGCTCTGTGTATGCTCTGCCTGCATGCTTTCTCCACACATTTTGAGTATGCTCTCTCTGCATGCTCGGTGCATGATGTCCCTGCACACTCTGTACACACACTCTACATGCACTGCACATATCCTTTTGCATGCTCCATGCATGCTCTATGCACACTGCATACATGTTCTCTGCGCGCTCCATGCACATCTCTGCACACTCCGTGCACGCTCAGTCTGCATGCACTCTGTGCACTCTCTGTGCACACTGCATGAACGATCTCTGTGCTCACTCTGCCTGCTCTTTCTGCACAAACTGTGCACACTGTCTCTGCATGCTCCATGTGTGCCCACTTGCACAGTCCGTGCATGCTCTCTTTGAACACTGTGTGCGTGCTCTCCACGCATCCTCTGCGCACACTCACTCCGCAGACTGTGCCTGGGCTCCCTCTGTGCATGCTCGGTGCACACTCCCTCTGCACACTCAATGCACGTGCGTGTGTGTTCCCCGTGCGCCCCACACCCTGCCCCACAGCCAGGCCCTTCCAGCAACACCCCAGCACCCCTCGCGGGGCGGCAGGGTGCAGCTCCAGCTGAGATCAATACCAAATTAGTGACTTCCCGCTGTGCCCCACATCACCCCTCAGTGCTGGGGGGGGCCGTCCACGTGTTCCCCGCCACCGCCGCCAGCTCAGGCACTGATCTCCAGGGCGCTGCCTTCCTCCTGCTCCCGGATGGCAGGGACACCGGTGGCCCGCAGAAGGCGTGGGGCGGTGCGGGAGCGCACAGGTGAGCCGGGGGGTGAGCGGGGAGGGCGGGTGGGGGCGGGCGAGCGGTGGTAGCGGCGAGCCCCTCGCCCCGGCGAGCGCCCGGCAGGCGGCGGTGAATCCTCCTGGGGTGCTGGGGTGTCCTGCGGGGAGGGCGTGGGTGTTGACACAGGGGCGATGCTCCGGCGTTTGTCTCGGTGTTGCCTGGCCCCGCTGCCCACTCACCTGCTCCTTGAGGATGTACAGGGCCAGCGGGGCCTTGCGGTCGTGGTCGGTGCTGCGTGGGATGGTCTCGGCTGCAGGAAAGGTGAGGAAGGGAAGGGAAGGGATGGGAAGAGAAGGAAGGGGAAGGTGGTGGGTGCTCAGGGCATGGTGCTGCCCATGCTGCCGGCACCACACTCACCCTCGTGCTTGGGGTGCTCCTCATCCTGCTCGGTGTAGTCGGGGGGGGGCGGCTCCGCTTGCTGCTTTGGTCTGGGGAGGGAACAGAGGCAGTGATAATGGTGGGGATGGGATGGGATGGGATGGGATGGGATGGGATGGGATGGGATGGGATGGGATGGGATGGGATGGGGACAGAGATGAAGATAGAGACGAAGATAGAGATGGAGACAAAGATGGAGATGGAGATGGAGATGGAGATGGAGATGGAGATGGAGATGGAGATGGAGATGGAGATGGAGATGGGATGAGACAGGGTGGGATGTGATGGGGTGGGATGCAATGAGGTGGGGTAGGACAGGGCAAGTCAGGGTGAGATGAGATGGGATAAAGTGGGATGAGATGGGACAAGAGTGAACAGGACAGTATCGAATGGGATGGGATAAAACAGGGCAAGATGTAAGAGGGAAGGGAAGGACAGGACGGGATGGGATGGAACAGGACAAGAAGAAACCCCTTTGACTCCCATGTTCCCCTCAGCCATACTTCTTAGATGGTTTCCAGCAGGCACAAACAGTCACCAGGGTTACAAGGAGGAAGATGCCGCCCGTGGAGAGGATGATGTAGAGGGAGCTCCGGCCTAGGGGAGAGCAGCAAGGGGGGAACCCCCCCAAAAAATCTTAACCAGGAACATCTGCAAGCAATGTCCAGCCCTGGGGACACATCTTACGGTAGACAGTGAGCTTCACGGGGATGCTGCGGCCATGGCTGATGGGGTTCTCCACCAGGCAGCTGTAGACATCGTCATCAGCCATGAGGACGCGGGTGATGGTGAGGATCTTCTGGTCAGGGGAGAGGAGAAGGCGGGAGTCGTTGCTCAGCGGCCGCCCATCCTTCAGCCAGGTGTAAGTCGGCTTGGTGCCGTTCTCATGTGAGCAGTTGAGGGTAAAGAACTCGCTGAGCTCCAGCACCGTCGAGGAGGCCACCAGCACTTGAGGCTTTGAGATGGGGACTGTGAATGAGGAGAGCCAAGGTGACACCAACGCCCCAAAGGACACGGATGGACAAGGGGAGGACATCAGTGCCCTAGTGGGGACCCGACCTAGCTGCAAGCAAGCTAGAACCACCTCTCTGTATTGCTGAACTCCCCAAACCACCTCCCTGATGGACAAATTCCTCACAAAACACTGTGGGGAGAGGATGTCCCAAGGGGAAAACCAAGCTCGACTGGGTGCCCTTACTGTCCACAGTGAGGTTGATGGTCTTCTCGCCGGTGAAGGTGTCATCGGTGATGGAGACCTCCACCTCGTAGGCACCCTCATCAGCCAGCTGCAGCGGGCTGATCAGCAGTGAGCCGTTCTCCAGCACGCGGATACGGTCGCGGTAGTCGGGCCGCAGGTTGCCGATGATCTCGGTGCCGATGGACTGGACGACGGTGACAGGCTTGTCCCGCTTCAGCTGCCACTTCACCACCGGCTTGTCGGGGCTGGCACTGGCGTAGCGCACCGACAGCAGCGCCGCCTTGCCTGCCGTGCCGCGCACCAACGCCGACGGGCTGGTGATGTTCACCCCCGCCAGCAGACCTGGGGATGGGGGGGAGACAGCGGGCGCCGCGTCCCGGCCCTCCGAAAAAGGGGAAAACCCCCTCCCGGAGCCGCAACGAGCATCCCTGAAAATCCCTCTCCTGCAGCATCCCCACTGTTTGCACGGAGGTTTGCAAAAATGTATGCATCACCCCAAAAAAGTGCTTTGGGAGGGGGTTGATGCAACATTTGGAAAGTGCACTGGGGGAATTGATGCAACACTTTGCAAAGTGTATTGGGGGCATTCACTGCAACCCTTGCAAAGACACACACACACAGGGCTTCCACCCCAAGCCCTAGAGGATGCTCTTGTCCGGCCACCCCCCCATGCCAGTGCACAAACACAGCACTGGTGACCAAGCCACCATGTCCCAGTTCCGAGAGGACCTCCTGGTACCCATCACCCCACAGGGAAATTCAAGCTGTCTGTGCTCAAAGCAAACAGCAAGGCTTAAAAATCTCACTTTTGAGGGAAAACAAAATCCAAGAACATAAAAATAAAATGGGTTTAATCCCCAAAACAGCCCTGTCCCCACTAGTTTGAGAGCCTCATCCATGAGCCCCCATCCAGATGCTGTCACCTGAAGTTGACCAAACCCCAGACTGAAGAGGGGCGGGAGGTGAAATCAGCTGGGGGGGGGGGAGGAGGGGAGACGAGGAGGGAGGCGAGCAGAGCAAGAAAGGGTTTAAACAAGCCTGAAAGTCACGGGACCTATTGGTATGCAGCATCCGTCCATCCATCCTCCCCAGCAGCCGTGGAGCTCAGCCCCGAAAAGGCACCGTGGGGTGAAATTTGGAATAAAACCCGGGCACATGGTCAGGATGTGGCCCCTGCCCCATCCCCACACCCTTGTGTGTCTAGAAGCCCATTCCTGCCCTGCTTTAACCCCTTTGCTTTATATTTTCAAGGTTCTGGGGGGAGGAATGGGAGGGATTTAGGAAGCATCACACAAACATCCCCGAAACACCAATCCACCAATCCTTCCTCCAAATTGCTGGTTTCTTCAAGTCCCCCCTTCTCCCTCCTCCCCCC